AAAAAGTTCATGTTGCGTGACCTTGAGGCATGCCGTCACGCAGAGTAAATTTCACGGTGAGTTTCCTCAAGGAAGGCACGCTTTCAGACATAGATCACGTCCGCGGTCAAGATTGACGATTTTTGTCGAGCCTTCGTGCGTTTCTGCACGAGATAGCGTGTGTTAGCTCTAAGAACAACAGGCGGAGGTTCTAAACCCCCTTTCTAAGCGCTGGCGAGCTGACTAACCATATCATCTTTCATAGCAATTGACAAAGTCATCTAATGGTTTCAACTGCAGTGAGCGCATCAAGGGGTTAAAAGTAACAGTGACGTTACGCAATATTTATAGAAAATTATTTGAACAGATGTACAAAATTATTTGCGATTTTATTTGTATTGTAAATATGCTTTTGCAAATATGGTCCTATTCGTATGTCTTCTCGTCCACCAAATAAGATCTGTGCAAACCAATAATAGAAGCGAAGCGGAGCTCTTACGAAACGTGTCACATGAACCGGATGTGTGACCTTTATAGCTCTCGTACTAACGACTCTTGATCATGATCTTTTGTTTATGACGTAACGAGACTGAAATTACCATTTATAGGTGCTATTAGTCTCATCGACTCACTTTGTTTGTAACAAAACCACGGTCAAGAGACAATCGAAGGTGCAGCACCGTTTTACATCCTTCCTAATATAAGTCAGTACATGAAATAATCTTTTTGAGAGAGCAGTCGGTGAAGTTGTTTGAAGGTCATTTCAGATATTGGGCTTGAAGTTACGTCTCAAAACAATTGCTGATCATTCAGCCATGGCCATTTTAACGACTCGCGAAGCAACGATGAAAGAGGGATATCTTTTCAAGCAGAGTAGAAATGTCTGGAAGTTGTGGAAAGCCCGATTTTTCATCCTCAAAACCACCGGGCTATTCTACTACAAGAAAAAAAGCCATTGCAGTGGCTTGGCGCTCGGAGTGATACCATTTAAGGACATTTCGATGCAAGTCGACGAAGTTGGTGACAAGCGAAGAAAGTTCTGCTTGAAAATCCACGCAGATGGCAAGACATTTTCTTTGTGCTGCTTCTCGGAGGAAGAGAGAAACTCCTGGATGATTGCAATCTTAACAGCTGTTACCTCATACGTTATCAACCAACACGAAGGAGCGAAAATCGACGAGGCCAGTTACATGACGAGGGGTAGGAGTTTGACCCGATCCAAGTCGTTTGATGCAATAACCGGTGCCAAACTGCCAAACCCACCGAAGCAAAAAGCTTCAACGTTGAGCACCAGCGCAACAGATTTGGATCGCATAGTTTTGCGAGATTTCAAGTCGACTCCGCTACCGAAAAGAAAGCAGAAAGCATTTTCTCACTGGGACTTTAAATGGAGAAGTAGTTATATCAGTTTTGATGTAATATAGTAAAAACCTTTAATATGTATCTCTGAAGCTTATTAACGAATCTTCCAACTGCGCTTATATAAACTGATTTAGCTGAAGTTCTTTCTTTCATCGATGTGACAAAACTCATGATCTAGATTTTTTTTTTTTTATCGAAAATAGTTCGAACCAGACGAATCGAACAGAGACGCTTTGAATTGCATTGTAAACTATGCCACTGATCTGTCATCACATATTTGAATTATTTAAGAACGGGAAGTTGTAATATTTGTGTAGGCTATTCAAAGAAGTTAATTGTAAAGAAACCATTGAAAGGTGTTTAGCATATTTAGTTAATTACGAAATGTGTAAAATAATGCAAT